ATTTGCCTATAGCCTGGCTCATAGTGAGATAGAGTGTATGGTGATAGCCATGTAATAGATATGGTGTGAGCTATCAAGGATGACTTATTCTTGATTAGGCCTCTCAACACCAAGTATACCTTAACATGACACCACATGCTACTGTGCGGCTCCAATATACTCACCAAGGGATGTCTGTCTATAAACACTTTGCAAACATCGTCTATCATTTATTCTAAACATCATCCATTTAAAAAATAGAGAAACATATACTAGTATAGCACTTTATTTTCACTTGGAATTTTTCTTTTGATAATTTAATACATGTGACAATCGAATTTGCATTTTTCAGTTGTATAACATTTTGGTTAGTTTTCTTTAAATGTTTTTTTTTTATTAATTTTGAACTAAATAGATATAATTTTCCATTCCTTGATAAATCTGATTAAAACAATATTGGGAGGAAATATTTTTTTTTTTTTTTTTAAAGATAACAAAAGTTGATTGCCATAAGTTTTCACAACAAAAATGCTGGTAAATTTTTACGTATTTTTCTATAAATTTTTTGATAATTTTGGACCAAATTGACGCAAGATTTTATTAGCTTTTTTTTTTTATGAGTATTATTTTGTGAAAGGTGATATACTTGACTTTGGTGTTTGGGGGTAAATAAACTTTTAAAAGTTACATGGACTGCCAGGAAGTGCATGGTTACTGCGGAATTTGATTATCTGTGAAATTAACCCAGAATGTACAATAATCGGATAAACCTAAAACAAAGTTACTGAACAAACAGATGGGTGTACATAAGATGGGAGAGAAAACAAAGGGGTAATAAGCAAGATACACAGAAACAATGGGCAAAAAATCTGGAAAAAAAACAACAATAAAGGTGTTTCTCACCGATCGCTGATGCATACTGCTGGACGGCCTTGATGAAATCATATTCGACACCAGCATCAGCACGTTACCGTAATTAATAACCTCAACATTCGAAAGATTTGAATTCAATTAAATGTGATTTTAGTGACAACCTTATGTTTTCAATCTAGTAACCATGACAACAACTACCTGCGTCAGCATACATAGTACACTTAGAGGACCCCATCAGAGTTCAAAGTGAAGGCTACACCAATTGCCAGTGAGCGCTGAAATCATGTGATCACAGTTTGTCGTAAAATTAATTTTGGGGTTTGTGCTTTAACAACATATGGATTGAATCTGGAATTATTTTTGCTTCTTATCAGATTTTGGAAATATCTGAATGCACTGAGATTGTCTTCGTATTATGAACATATGGTTCCAGACACAAAATACAGTAGACCACACGACAATAGGGCTTTGTCACGAATTCATCAATACATGTGCATGATCACGCACATGTACATGTACAGCACTCATTCAAAGAAACACATGTACACGTAGTTTTGTTTAAAACAAGGTTACGATTTACGTTTATTAAAGCACTGCAGTCAGTGTACAGTGTAGCACGCATTCAAATGTTGTATTTTCGACCCATGTTGTGTAAATCACGTGGGACCCATATCTATAGCGTCTAAATTATGTCAGGGACGTCAAGCGAAACACAGCACAACTTTGACTGACAACATGTTCAGATTTTGTAGATGAGATGCAGGGTTCTTCCTGAACAGGATAACGGCACTTTGCCCCTAACAATATTGAAGTGTTCCATTATGGTACAAATGATTTTCCTATGCCTATTTATGATCACCTAGAGTTTAATCCCACACCCCATCAAATTGACAGGCAGAATTTTTTTATTTTTGCTTTTTCCCTTATTTTTTGACAATTTTGTCAAATATTATGCCTCAAATCATCTGTTCAGCTTATTTCTGCGAGGCACTTGCAAATTCTTGGCTAACACCCTGCCCTGTAGCATTATGAAAATGGTGGCCATTGTGACAGAACTTTTACAAGGATCTCATTTCAAATCAAGGCCGATTAGTTCCAGATTGATTTTTTTACCAGACATTAAACTAGATTTGCATATAAAAAGTACATACGTGTATGACAAATTGGCTTCTACTCAAACCTCACATGTACCATCCCTACTTGAATTGATATTTTGTTTTTCTCTAATTTTAATTCATGTAAAAATCTACGTCTCACAAGTCTGCGTATTATTAAATTATAGTAGAGACAATTCCCATCAATGGCAGGAAATTATTAAGTCGGCAAAACTCACATATGGGAGTTTCTTTATGAGGTGGAGATTTATTTTCATCGAATAAGGCTTTCCAAGCTGACCAATAAGAACACAGTTTATTAAAATCCTATTTAATAAATAAAGGGAAATATTGTGATTGCCACCAGAAAAATTCATTATAAATAAAATATTTAAGATTTCGGCCTGCAGAGAACCAAAATAAATCTCCCGCTGCTACATGTACAACCTTCTGCAATTCACCAGACTAGTGAAATTCAACAAAATTTGTCCTTTTGTTTATTTTTTGTCGTCGGCATGACGATAAGGTTGATTTAGCTTTTTTCTTTACTGTATCAAATGTGCCTGTGTGTTTTTAATATATACAATGATTTTTCTGTCATTCTCATGAAGAATATTTTGTTTTGAACATTTTCTATAAGCATTTTTTTTTTTTTTAAATCAAATCCTATAACGATTCTAATGTTAATGGTCAAACCCTTAATAACTGAGATTACATCCATCAAGTCAATATATCCCAAACTCTAAGAAATGCCAGGAATCTCACATCCCTACAGACTTTATAATTATCTTTACCCAAGACCAGGATAAGTGTCTCCATTGAAGAATTCAAGACAGACCACACGTAGAGAAGATCACACAGAACAAGGGAACTAAAGAACAGGCTGAGAGTTGTCACGTTTACCAAGAAGTGATAGAAGATGACAGTTAGGGTATGATGAGATATATTGGATCCCAGCTGTAATTCTGTGTGTCTGATTTAATCTGACATCCCCCAACCCAATATGTCTGATTTCATCTGACATCCCCCAACCCAATATGTCCGATTTCATCTGACATCCCCCCCCCCGACCCAATATGTCTGATTTCATCTGACATCCCCCAACCCAATATGTCTGATTTTCCCCCAATTTTTGGTATGTATGTGTTGGTTCTTAGATATTTCAACCTCGTCGTCCTGTACTTCGTTTAGTAATTCAGACTTCCCAGATTGCGTAAAAATGGATAGTTTAACAATTTTGATACGGAAAATGCCTGGGCTTAATCATTTTTTGGGGGACAGCTGTTTAGTTATGTTATGATATTACAAAAAAAAAATTCACACAACATAGCTGGCATGTACATATGCATATAAGTGATGCCTGGTTTTCTCACACAGAAAATCAAGCATACTTTTTTTGAGAGCATGAAGCTAACAAGTGACAAAGATGCCTCCAAACTCTACCACATAAAAGGAAACTGGTTCCAAAAAAAGTTGGCATCTGTACTTGGTTACAACAAAAATCCTATAATACCTGCTCCAAGCAGGATACTATTTTTATCCTTTTATCCATTAAAAATGAACGAAAATAAGAATATCAACTTACATGTGACATAAAAACTATGCAAGTGAATAATTTATATAAACGGGGAATAGTAAAGACTAAGCTGGTACATCTGGGCTTCACTTCAAAATAATCAGATGTACATGTAGCTACTGAGAAGGAGATACTTAGCCATCAATGAATAAAATAAACTTCAAAAAATTAGTTGTTCTAAGATAGTGATCATTATTTAACAAACCATACAACAGGCACAGAATAAGGCAGTTCATCCCAAATTCAAATTTTGCAATACTGAGCATAGGATCATTGCATATGTGCAATGCATTATGGGAGAGAACGAAATAGAAAAAAGATTATCACACTGGATAAGCCCATAAATGTAATTTGTTTTAAAATATTTTAATAAAATTAGGATTTAATTCCATAATTGTGATACGGTACACATTACGTACAGTATTATTTTTAATGCAATACCACAAATACATGTACTGATATATATGAATTATTATACATGAAACATAAAAATAATTATTATAAATCTGTCACTGTATCATCACAAATTACAGCGATTAGGAAACATGTGTTCGAAATATAGAACTATTATGTGGTATTTATAGCGAGAAATTTGTAGTAATCTTTATGATTTTGCTCAGTTTAGGGATTACTACAAGTAGCCGTTGGGTTGCATACAAATGTACACGTAGACAACTACATGTCGTCTAAACTGCGAACTCGCCAAAGCACTCGGCAAATAGTGCAAATTGACAGTGCGGCAACAATACTACCGACTAGACCATAGAATGAATATTCGTCATACGCATGTGCTTCAACGACTAATACATTTTTCATGTTATTCCTCAACAAACAGAAATAAGATTGTGAGACCATGCTGTGAATGTACCTGTAATGACACTGAAACATGATTGTACTGCTTTGTTTGATACGTTGATTCGTTTTTGCCAAAGAAATAATTTAATTATCTCCAAGACGTTATTAAATACATTTGAAATCAATTCTACGATAAATGGAAATTTGCCTGAAATTTGATTTATTAAAGAACGAAGGAGCATTGGCATATTAAGTGATTGAATGGGACAAGGTCTTCCCATCACTACCATTGTCAGTGGCATTTTAGCACTGGATTCAGTTACATGTAAATTTATGCACATACATGTAAATACATGT